TCCTGGAACACTGAGGATGTTATGAAGGATATGGGGGAGATGAGGTTATGCTACCTGGAAGTTTGAAGTGTGTCTAGTTTTGCTTGATTAGCTTGTTTAGTTGTGTTTGTTTAGGGTTGGAGTTGGGTGGTGATCCCTGCTGTAGAGGAACTCAGGGGAATCCACAATGGTGGAGTAGATCTCTGTGTGTTTACATGCTGCTTCTGATGGACAGACAGAAGTAAACCTGCTTCTGAGGCTGCTCAGAGTAGATTCACAAACTCTGAAACTGGAGTGTCAGCGGTCCAATCTTAAAGCGCTCTCTGATGTTATTCAGTTCAGCAACTTTCGCTGATGTTCACTCTTGCACTAATGTTCTGGAATATGACACTGATTTGGACCAGACTCTCCCTCTCCCTATGACTGTGAATCTCTGCAAGAGTAAGTGTGGATGAGCTTCTGGAACTGATCTGGGCACAGTTGTTGGTCATGGTCAAGGGTCTCCTGAAGAGCAAAAGTAGTGACTATAGTAAAGTGTGCTCTTCCGTCTTCTCGGAGAGAGTTAAACACCTTCTACCTATGCTGGGCGTTATTAGTTTGTTTGGGTGTGTTTGATTCGGGTGTGGGGATCCCTGATTCAGAGGAACACAAGGGAATCAACAATGGAGATTCTGAAGTAGCTCTGTCCACATTAGTGAAAGACGAGACCGGAGGGTGAACCTTGGTGAGGATGTGTGCAGGTGTGAGTGTTCAGGTGATCGCTGTGATTGGGTGATGGAGTCTGGCATGGCTGAGACAGAGAGAAATGAATTCATTCATTCATTTTCTTTTCAGCTAAGTCTCTTTATTTATCAGGGGTCGCCACAGTGGAATGAACCGCAAACTATTCCAGCATATATTTTACACAGCGAATGCCCTTCCAGCCGCAACACAACACTGGGAAACACTCATACACACTCATACACACTCTTACACTATGGCCAGTGTAGTTGATCAGTTTCCCTATAGCGCATGTGTTTGGACTGTGGGGGAAACCGGAGCACCCGGAGGAAACCCACACCAACACGGGGAGAACATGCAAACTCCACACAG